ACTGTGACCGAATTCCGCCGGCTCTCGCTAATCGTTTTGACGTGGTCAGGCTCGCGGGGTTCGTGGGGAGAGAGCAGATACGAATTGCGCGAGAGTATTTGATTCCTCAGTGCGAAAAGATATGCGGGATCTCGGAAGATACTATAGTTATCGAGGACTGCGCACTACGAAGAATCGTGGAATCTTACTGTCGAGAAATGGGTGTCCGAGAGTTGCAGACGAATTTATGGCGAATTTTCAGGCGCGCGGTAGTTCGGTGTTGCGAGGGGACGGAGGAGCTCCCTATGAGAGTAACGGAAGAGAGTCTCGTCGATTGGCTGGGCTTGCCAACCTACCCTGGAAATCGTTGGACGCGTGGTATCTCTCCCTCGAGTGCATCGGTGGTTGGTTTGGGATGGACCGAGGCCGGCGGGACGATGCTGGAAGTAGAGTGCCTGCCGAGCTCAGAGTGGTTGATAACGGGGCAGGTGGGAGTGACGCTGCAGGAGACTGTCAGGATAGCGGCAAGTTGGAGCAAGATCACTAATCCTATGCACGTCAATATTGGCCCTGATGTCTCAGCAAGGAAGGACGGTCCTTCTCTCGGCCTAGCGTTAGCGGCACTGTTCTGGGCGCAGCGACGAGAGCGAACGGTTCCTCACGGGATTGGTTTCACGGGGGCGATAACGCTGAGTGGAGGAGTAGAGCGCGTTGGTGGTATCCGAGAGAAGGTGGTGGCTGCGAGTTTGGGAGGGCTAAAGGTGGTGGTGTTACCCAAAGCGAACAAGGCGGAGTGGAAGGCGATAGAAGATGGATTAAAGGATGGGTTGGAAGTTGTTTTCGTAGAGGACCTGACGGAGCTCGAAGGCTTGCTAGATGAGCTTGCGGAATTGAGAAGGGAAAGTTTCATGTATGAAGTGTGATGGTTTCTGTTAGCAGTCATTGAGGTTGCGTTTGACGGGACAGTATCACATTGGGGAGAAGACCGCTGCCTCTATGACGCCCATCGATCACACGGCCATACAACGAAGTTGCAAATATATTGAATGCTGAGTAGGCCGTTCGTGAAACTCAGAATCGGACTTCATTTTCCATTGTAAAGTGATGCCGGTTTATGGTAGTCTCCAGCAGTGGATGAGGCATAATTCATGACTTCCTAGTGGTGGAATGTTACCACCGAAACTCTCGATCATGTTTTGAGAAACTCGTGTTTCGGAGGGGAAAAATCTCCAAGCCCGGTGGATGTCATTCCTTGATAACCTCGCATACTATAGTGAATAGAAAAAATCACCACAACACAGCTCACACAGAGTCATTGAAGACACTTAGTCTTCACTTCTGTCCTGGAGTACCACAGCGAGATACCTTCAGTAGACAGCGCAACTGTGCGCCTTTCATGCTTACTAAGCATTGTTTAGCGTCGAGCATAGCTAAGAGCGTGTCTCGCACTGTCCTCCTCTAAGATAAGAGCAGGTTTCGTCTTTGTCTTGGGAACCTGTGTTCATGAGCAGCCCGAGGGTGACGCTCACTACTAAACCGATCCTTAACAGGTCTTATAATTATAAGTATGATAACTAAAAGTAGTGCCAGCTTACGCTGAGATACTAGCTACATAAATACACAGGAGACACTAACATTATCTCATCACAGTATAACATAGGCCTAAGGCCTTAATCTTAAAATCTTAACATCATACTTCGTATGAAGATTGCCGATTCTCGGCAATCGAAGCATGGTCTAAGTTGCAGTGATCTAGGGTAGAGATCGGACATACAACACGAAACAGATGGACGTTCTTTCACCAAGACACTACGCGCCCAACTGGCGTCGCCCATAGGAGGCGTCAGTATGTCGAGGCGTGACTATTCGAGGCGAAGCGAAAAAGGTGTATTTCGGGGTTGTCTCGGGGAATTACAGGGGCTCCAGCGTGCATGAATTCGAATGCAGCGGATGAACACATAATACGGTCATTGTGATTGTCACGCGTGCGATGCTGAATCTGGTCGCGTGGCAACTGGGCACGGGTTCAACCCGTCGGGTTGATTGTTAGCTGCTCAGCGTCCCAGTTCTTAGCGCCTCTCATTGTCATCTTCATCTCGCTACTACATCCAAATACTCATAGTAAGGTCCCTCTCGGTTGTGTTGGCTAATATGAGCACTGAAGCCACCAATTAGCTAAACTCTGTCCGAATCCTACAACGCACAGACATTGTGCGCCGCAAAGTAATGCCGCTCGCACGCTTGAAGCCTATGCCATGTTCATGTTATCGTATCTGGGTGACGAGACAACCTCCGTAAGAAGGTTAGCGACAATCTCATAGTTGTTACGACTATTGTAATCGTTAATTCTGTGAATGTTGTTAAAGTGGCATACATTTGCAGGATGTAGTTGTTTGTAGGCGCTTGTGCGATCGTTACTGTTACCACGCGGATCACGTTCCGGACCGAGTCGGCTCCAGCCAGGCTCGAATAATACCGGCACCTTGTGATCTGCAATCGCGCGAATACGGTTATTTTCAGGAATATCCCTTCATAGCATCATGTTGTTCGCACGTTCGGCATTACTATCGACGGTCTTATTATATGTGATAGCCTCCCAACGCACCCTGTTGAGACTATCCCATCGCGGAAACTCGCTCAATGTTCGTCTTCTACCGGATATGGTTGCGCAGGCATTGACCGCATCTGCTGGAAGGAAACGTTTCCTCAGTCAAGACGACCTCGAGTGTGAACGATGCTTCACGCAGGATGGTATGGTCTATGACTTGAAGGCAATAGGGGTCCAGATTGTAGAGTCGACATGCTCAGTTGGTCACAACAGTATTCTGAACTACTTGAAAAAGGCCGCAGATTTGCTGGGCATCGAATTTGATTGCGAGCCCGATGTGAAGATCATCCTAGATCCTATCCCCAGTATGGTTCAATCCTCAGCTACTTGTACTGGTGGCAATCCTGTTCTCGGCACCAACGACCCCGGCTCTTCTTGTCAGCGTTATCTCGAAGTCATTCACCTGGGAGCTGCCTGGCGAGCGGCTCGTTCTGCCAAGTTGAAGTTGAAAGATGTTGTGCTGGCCGTCATTGACACGGGGGTTGATACGACTCATCCCGATCTGGTCAATCAATTCTGGAGAAATCCAGCTGACGGGTCTATTGGCTTCAACTTCGCTAAGAACAATACCAATGTGACTGATGACCTTATTCATGGTACCCACTGCGCTGGCATTGCGGTCGCCCAGACTAATAACCGCATTGGCATTGCAGGAGTGGCTAACATTGAAGGCCCACCGCCGAAGGTTAAGCTGATGGTATTGAAGATCTGCGACGATTCCGGTATTGGTCTTTTGAGTTATTCGCTGAGGGCCCTCAACTTCGCAGTTGAAAATGGTGCAACAGTATCCTCTCATTCTTACCGCTGGTATAACACAAGTGAGCTCCAGAAGGCAGCATACAAGAACGCCGCTGCTGCTGGACATATTGCTGTTGCTGCTGCTGGCAATGAAGCGCTTGATCTAGAGAAGAACCGAACCTATCCTTGCTGCCTTGCAGAGGACATCCCATCTATGCTTTGTGTGGCTGCCAGTACTTCTAATCCAACGGAAACGGTGTCTCTTGCTGGATTCTCGAACGCTGGATTTGTTACGAAGGTTGCTGCTCCCGGTGTGGATATTTACTCGACGATCCCCGGAGGTTCGTACTGCAAATCTAGTGGTACATCGATGTCGACCCCTATGGTTGCTGGTGTCGCGGCCTTGCTCGCTACTCTCGGTCTTGAAGGCCAAGACATAACCAGCACTATTGTCAAATCTAGAACGGCCGGTGTACAGAATCCATTCAATCTATCCCACATCGGGGAAATAGATGTACTTAAAGCAGTGAATACCGCCCTTTCCCAGTTGACGAACTGCTCCTCCTATGGTCAGTAAAGTTGCCTCGAGGACTTTAGGACTCGTGAACTGCTGAAGCAGATAAATGCATCCACCTTTTTGTATAAAGGTTTTTCCACATCTTCGCCGTTATCCGATTCATTTTCAAAGGTTTCACGGCTGCTTCCAGACAGCATCATTATTACCTTTCCGCATTAGAATCAGTTGATACTTCGAAAACTTTTGTGATTGTATCTCAGATATGTATCGTCATTGAATACCCATTCCTGTGGGGTAGAGTTTTCACCGGTAACATAACTGATCGTTGACGTCTTCAAAGCGTTTCCAATAAAAACCGTGTTATGAACTTATCAGTCGTGTCTTGAATTTGATCTTTCTCTATAATCCAGGCTGCGTGGACCAGGCATAACACAATACCATCAGTATACAAGAGAAATGGCTATCAGGCTCGTAAAACGTTAGCGCAGGCACTCAACTTAGCGCCAGGGTGACGATCTGTGTATTGCACACTGTTCAAGCTGTATAACACTGATTGAGGTGTAATTGTGCGCCTCGAATCGACTGTTGTGGCGTGCAACCCATAGATGTTTGAGCGCTCCATGATTTCCAGCGCTTTTGGTCGCAGCCAAGATTCATGTTATGTTAGTTAAAACCTCTGCGCCAACTGGCATTTTGTTAAGATTCACCAACCATGGCGACACCTGATCCGAACCGTCGTGAAGCACAAGACGGACCGAACCCATCCGTTTCACGGTCGGAAGGTATCGGGGGCGGAAGCGTAGCTCATGAAGAGCCCATCGACCTTGAAGAGTGGAGAGGGTCAGCTGCTGCATTTACTGATTCAGACGAACTCCGTCACGAACTCCGCAAAGCTCGTATGTATCGCGGCAGAGTAAGAACCCAATTGCGGGGGGTCAGAGAAGCCCTGGCTAACATAATCGGGACAGCGCCCGATGATCTTGCCGCGATGAACGACTTGGATCAACGAGAGAGAGATATCGAAAAGACCCTTGAGGAAGCTATGGCCTATGTCACCGCATTGGAGAATAGATCCGAAGAGTTGATGGCACTAAGAGTCTCCTTACACACTTCGAGAAGCTATTCTGCACTGGATGTTCGAGGAGCTCTCCAGTTTTCTGAACAATCTGGTCCTGAGGGCCATCCTCCTTTAGTCCACGACCTACTGTCGATGGATTCTGCGAGCCATTATGAACACAGAGAACGCCATTCTGAGCCGAGACTGGAGCAAGTCGTTCTTAAGCAAGGATCAGAAGCCAGGAAAGGAAAGCTAAAATGCGATGCTGGTATAGTTGGTAAACTGACTGTGGTCTCATTGAAAGACGCTTTCAAACTTCCGCAGCATTGTCGAAGACTCGAGGAGGTTTTAGTGGAGATCCATTGTTGTAGGAAGGTGTGATGAGGGCTCTCATGGGACAATGAAGGGCGAGCGCTTCCGAGTAGCTATGTACTTGCGTACGATAAGTTCATTGTCATTGTATTGAGGCAGTAATAGTCTAAGTCTTCTCAGTCTTAGTTAGAGTTTGATCCATCGGTTACCCTTGCGTTCGTTATATGACGCCGTCCGATCCACCCGGTTCCACCAACATGGTGACAGCTGTGGGGTACTTCCCGGCTCTTCTAGGGAAGGAATCGTTACCTACCCTTGGCAGCAAGCACGATTTCGTCCATCACCTCAGCGTCGTTGAAGCCTGTGTTGTTGAAGCTGGCTATGCTACCTCGACTCCTGATGGCATTAAGGTGGAGCCCCGTTTCCAGCATCTCGTTGTATCGAGGTTATTGCAGGCGTTGAGCCCTGTAAAAGATGTGGCTGCATCCGCTAAACGGGCGGCGATTGTCTATGGCTATGACTGGCAACTGATCCGAACTGTCCTTATCAGGCAATACGGCAAGAAGCATGGCTTGAAGGATGAGTACCTTGCCAAGCTTAACCGTCTCAAATTCGTTCCGAATGGCGATTACGAAGCATTCATTGAAGAAGCCGCCGATGCCTTCGCTCTCTGTCGGCGCGCGTTTGGTAAAGACATCGCTGAGCATAGAGCCTTCGTTCGTCAGCTCTGTCGAGTTCTACCCCATAACACGTTGGTAGCTGTCTTGAGAGAGATACGGGCCGCCATAGCGGGGGCCGGGCTCATAGCCAGCGAGCTGGACTGGGAGACGGCGGTTGCCTTCGATGATTTCGATTTGGCTATTCGCGAGTCGGGCGACCAGCCTCGTGTCACTACTACGACGTTCTGTGCGGCCTTGCGTAGTGTTTGTGGTATTGATGAGGAGGCTCGACGGCTCCTGGCATCGTCTGGGAGTCATACGGTTCGGTACGCAGCCGAGGACAGTCCGGCTAAGCCACGGCCTAAATTCTCCGAGAGGTTCCCTCATGTGGTGTACGTTGCGGGATCCCTTCTCGACGATAAGCAGACGGCGGCTATGTACTTCCAGACGTTCGGCCCGGAGGAGACCCTTAGCCTCCGTAATCGGCGGGGGAAGCCATTCGTATTGCTCGGCTACAACACTGCTGCTGAAGCCGCCAAGGCTCTGGTCGATCTGAAGGCGGACAAAGAGTCGGGCTTGATTTGCCGTCCGTTTGATCCACAGGGGAGGCCAAAAAACATATCGGGGCCTCGTCGATAGTTCGCGGCGAGGCCCATAATGAGTCGGACGAGTCTGAATACCCTACCGCTCCTGCCTTTATTCTGACTCGCCAAAGTATTGAATCTGCTAATCCTGCTACTGCTATCATGTCGACCCCGACGTCCACGTGCACGGTGTCCGCTCCTTTCCTATCTCCGAAATCCGCGGAGGATGGTCGATCGGGCCCTTCTACTACACTAATTTCTGCTCGGCAGGGTGAGAGCCCTCTGTCGATTCGTTATGCTCTCTTAATTTTTCCGGGAAAGGTCCATCGGAGCTCAAAGTGACGATGCTGATCGAACCCAATCGTAATAAGTCCGCTGTGAGCACAGAAGCGGTGCTCGATAGCGGAGCCGGCAGTAGTTATTTGCTCTGTCCATCAATTGATCGCGTCTTCGGTGCTAATACTGTTACCACCGCCGAGGGCACTATTCTTTTTTCTCGTGACGGGAAGAAAGCTCTGTCGTCAGAATTCGTCTATGACGTTTCTGACCTTCCACTCACTGAAGAGCCTTTCGGTTCTATTGTTACATCATCGGTAGCTGTCCAACCAGACCCGAGTGTTATTCCGTTTGAAGTTCATCTTACACCTTGTCTGGCAGACAAGCTGCGTGGATGGGTGGCAACTCTGGCTGAGGAACCGGAACGGGTGTTTGGCACCGTTGTGTCGGGCGAGTACCGTATCCAGCTCCTTCGATTACCTTCCGATGCTGCGAAGGACACCACTCTGCAAACATTCTTTTTCCAGCTGACTATCCCTTCTCCTATTCCAGGTAACGTTCGGTGGCGTCCTTATGCCAAGAAGTTATATCAGCAGCTATCTGAGAAGAGTAAACGGGTCTATCGCGATTTGGTTAACGGGTACATCAACAGAGGGTGGTGGCAGGCACTCCCGCCCGGTAGCCCACGGATCGGAGACTCACTACCAGCGGAAGTGTTCCTATTGGGGGCGAAGCCGAGTGATACGAGAAAACCGCGATTGGTTGCGGATTTCTCGCCTTGTAACGCTCAGCTCCCTGCTTCCACTACTTCAGGCATTTCTGTTGGTGATGTGCTACTGGTTATCCGCTGCTTATGTCCGTGCTTCTTGGTTGGATATGACTGTGCCTCTGCTTTTTATCGGATGAGATTACACCCTGACAGGCTCCTATACTTACACTCAGGGATGGCGGAGTCTCTTGCTCCCGATTTCGTCTCGCTGCGAGTAAGTTTCGGCCTGGGAGCTGGTCCTATGAGCTTGGAAGAGAGCTTGGGATGGTATATTACCCGCTTCCGATCGAGTCCCTTCGCTATGTATCTTCTCATTGTTGCTATATTTGTGGATGATGGTGTACTTGCTGGGGTTGATAAAAGGGTGCTGCATGCAGCGAAGATCCTCTTCTTCCTGCTCGATCTCGTGGGATTCGCCTGCGCTCTCGCGAAGCTTCATTTCATCTGTGTCGATCCCACTGATGTAGGTGATACTTTCCTACCTCCTCAAGATACCATGCTTCATCTCGGATGCGAGCTATCCTTCCGTAAAGGTTGCTTGGTCGTTAAGTGCTGCCGAGATGAGCGGCTGAGTCGAGTGAAATCATTATGTCAACGGTGGCTGGAGGATGGCACAGTCGCTTCTGTCACTAAGCGGCTTGTGTTTCGTCTAGCTGGGGCGATTGCTTACGATCCTGTTCATCTCCATGCTACTTCTTCCTTGCTGGGAGATTGCTTACGACGCTTAGTAGGGAAAGCGTACGCTAAATACGGGTGGGATGCTCAGCAGCTGAGCCTCAGCTGTCTCTCGACCATCTGCCCAATGAACTCCTCCTGGCGTGGCTTGAACTGCTTCGGTGGTGCCTCCAGCAGGCGCAGCTTACCAGTACCTGTTCTCATGCTATTCCTACACCTTTCCCAAATTATCGACATGTTCATCTGGAGCTGTTCACTGATGCGAGTAGCATCGGAGGTGGGTATGTGCTCTACAGGGTAACGGATGAGGAATCTGAGGCCGGTCGTCCACAGCGGTACGTGTTGACTCAAGCAGCTTTTGCATGGCGAGGAGGACAGCATGCTTGGCATAGCAATCGCAAAGAGCTCACTGTTTTGCTTAAAGGAGTTCGTTGCGCGGTTGGTCTAATGCGTAATCTCATAGCCATGTCTCCTGATAAGTCACTGTCTATCCGGCTGGATATGTGCTCGGACAATAAGCCGAGTGTGTCGTGGGCGCAAAAGGCTCACGGAGCATTTCCCCAGGGTGTCGGCCGAAGTTCTAATATTGAGAAGCGCAGCATCATCCGACTTATTGATGCCATCGCCGAAGAGTTTCGCATCTTGAGGGAATTTGGTCCAGCAGTGACTTATCATGTACGACACTGTGCCGGCCAGGACAACCCCGTTGCTGATAGTCTGAGTCGATATCTTGAGCGTACCTGTGATCCTCGAGGACCTCGAGGATATCATTGCAATTAACGAACTTTATCGCATAGTTCATCCTACGGATAGTGCTCAAAAACCCAGTTCGTGCGAAAGATTCTAGCTCATCTACCACGAGAAGTGGTCTTGGGTGTCATCCGTAGATATCGAGCACTATGCGGCTCACCAGAGGGTGATTGGGAAGTCGCAGTGGAGTTCCACTCTTTGAGCGGCCTGAATGATGATACAATGACCGAGTTCATCAAGGCGGAATGCCGTTTATTGGAAAAGGCTGACTGTCTCAAGAGGGAGGTGAGTGGGAGTCGAGATGCGGTGAAAGCTATTACCTCTGCGTCGGCGAATGACTCTGGGAACATTACTCCTAATTCAGCTAAACAAGTCCCTGCAAGGGAATGGGTGAAAAGTTTTGCTGTGGCTTATGGAGTCACTGGCCGAGGGTGTCGCACTCTCCCGAAAGGAGCCGAGCGGGCAGGATATACTATATCGTTGGCTACAAGCATAAGAGATTTGGCGAGGAAAAGATTGCCAGTCTACTCAAGAGTATGTTCAAGTGGTGGGAGTTTCAAGATAAGCCTCCGTTTGGATCCTCGGGAAGGGAGGTTACCAAGCAAAGCTCCCATTGAGACGCGTGATGGCGTGCAGTCTCAGGGTTCTGCTGCACCCGGATGCCCACTTGAGGAGCCCAGTATTTATCAAGAGCATCTCAATTCAATTACTTCACCCCCTGAGTCTCGTCGCGGTTGTAATGTTATTCCACCAGAAATCGTTGTGGGTGTTTCCCTGCGGTTCTATGGTGCGGAAGACAGTATGCCTCCTCTCCCGGGTAGTTGTGTCTTAGACACAGCCGCTGGAGGTTCTTATCTACTTGTACCTTCAATCCCAGAGTTTGTATCTGTATGCCACATTGATCCTTACAGGATTAATAACCCTATAGTTGTAAGTCTGGCAGATGGGGCCAGAGTAAGGGTTGAGTACGGTATCCGATGCAGTCTGAGTCTCTCCGATGTATCGGGTAATGTTGTGAGAACCACGGACACCGATATCCGACTATTGGTTTGTCGAGAGGCGGTTTTGACACCGAGTCTATCTATATTGGCAGGCCGCTCTCTCCTCCAAGAATGGGATATGGTTATTGTTGGTTCCCTCGCAGCCTATGTCGGACGGAACTTCGAACATTGCGTGTACGAAGCTCCGATTCCCGGGAAGCTCTGTGGAATCCATCAGGAATGATATAGTAAGCGCTAGCTCTAACTACTCGAATGTGGGCCATGAAAGCGCCACAGTGGCTAGCTATGCATGTACTCCGAAGTTTACTCCCAGAGAGTGGGATTTAGGCTAAATCCTACATGATGCTTTCAGCTAAATCATTTAGCTGAAAGCATCATGTCCGAACTTATGTCTGAATCTTGGACTATTGTTCGGAGTACCTCTGGTGCCCATCAAGCGAGAGTACGGCCTGTGAGCAGAAGCTAACAGCGAGATTTACCAGAGCAACAGTATGTTTGTGAGATACTCGTTCCCAAGATCGAGTGTTCTGGTGATTTTTCTCCGAGAGCGTATGCATCCCGAATGTATGCCCGGCTTTAACAGCATCTAAAAAAGGCTTACCGCGAGCTGGTGAATGCATACGTCGATGCCAAATTTTTGTTTCCTGAGAGTCCTGGTGCGATCCATGAGCGAGCAAGTTTGCCCCGAGCACAAGTATTTCTCCTCCCAGGGGGAGCTAGAAAGCCTAGGCTTGTCGTGGCGAGATATCAATTCGAGGCTACCATCGGCATCATCGAATCGGCCTTCGCTCTGGTTACCTATTGCTGTATTGCGATTGTTTGGGTGGGCGTACTATCATCATTGGCGATGCATGGGCAGCGTTCTATAAGGTCAGGCTGGTGAGAGAAGATGAAAAGCCTTACGTCATATCACTCGAAACTGGGATTGGGAATTTCGAGAGTTCCCGACTTGTGTTTGGGATTGTGGTCGGTCCCAGCGGGCTCCCAGCTAGTCTAGACCGCATCATTGAGAGAGTCAGAACCTGTGGGTGTCGAGTGCAGATCGTCGTCCTCCCCACGAGCATAGCAACACTCATCATATTTGTTGATGATTTAGCACTCAGTGGGGAACTCGAACACGTTCTAAGTAGGTTCCGCATTACCCTGGGAGCCATGGAGATGGTTGGCTTCGACGTACAAACAGCTAAGGTACACATAATGGCGTGTGAATCTGTCCGAGATCAACTACGAGAGGCACCCAAAAAGCAATTCGTTGGTGTACCACCAAACATTGTCGGCGAAGCAGACTTATTGGGGATGAAAGTGCGATATGAAGGGCCTGATACCGTTATGGTATGTAAGCGCGAAAAGCGGATAGCCACAGTGAAGCGTTTTATCGAGAGCGCACGGCATAGCACTCTAACGAGTAAGCGAAAGGTCTTCCAAGCGGCTGAATGCCTTGCTTTCGACCCTTCGAGGCAGCACATGCTCAGTAAAGCATGACATGCTCTGCACATTGTGCAGACAGCATACGTTCACTTGTGGCCAGGAACTTCAACAAGACGGATTGGCCTGTCGAGATCGACATCTGTTCTCTTCCTACGTTGCTACAGCAAGCCTTTGTATGTTTGATATACTGGATGGCCGAGTTGGTGCTCGAGGATTGCTGTCATCGATCACCAGGGAGAGACCTACAGAACGCGAAGCCCCTTCTGATTCATGCGTATAGCGACGCTGGTTCCACTGTCGCAGGTTATATAGCATATTTGGGGGAGGCTGGCCAAGGGACAGTGCTTTTCGCCGAGTGTTTCCGGTTCAAAGCAAGTGAGCGTAAATGACATAGTAATCGCCGGGAGATGGCTTGCTTGCTACGGTTGCTTCAAGACCTGTATGACTTGGTGAAGTACCGAGAAAGTGGGGCAATCGATGACCGGAACGAAGAGGTCAAAATACTCCTGCACTGCGATAATTCTGCGTGTGTCTCATGGGCCAATAGTGTCGACAGCTCCTCCCTGATAGCTTCCTCTAAAGCTCTCGAACGTAGAGCGTTGAGCAGGTTGGTTGGTTCTCTGCATGAAGAGCTACTAGCGTTAAGGAGATTGGCTAATCTGAAGATTGTCCACCTAGCTGGCTCGAGGCACGGCATAGCCGACGGGCTCTCTCGCACTTTTGACCGTAACGTCAACGACTCGATTATGTCATTGGCAGATAGCCTCTGCCAGGGGGCGGTTCGCGAGCAGTCCAAGCAGAGCAGTCCGCAGTTCGCGAGTGAGCAGTTCGCGAGTTCGCGAGGGATCCCAGCTATCGTATAGTATATTATATTTCGTACTACGCATAAGTGATATATTTTATACCAAGTACCGATGATCACAAATCACATTACAGTTCAAAAATATTTCAGGGACTCACTGACGAGATGAGATTGACCTCCCCGGCAATGCGAAACTTAGTTACCAGTACTCACCGAGATCCAAAGATTGACATTCAACCACCACATCAGTCAGGGGTTGAGTTTCAAGTTGAAACTTTCAACGATTGAATTTTAACTCACTCAAAGAAATAAAGCATTCTAGAGTCGTTAGGCTAGTACGTGAAGTCGGACTCACACTGCAACCCGATACAACAAGCCAGGCAAGTCAACTTTTACTCCTAGCTCGCCCACAATCATTGTGGGATTGTGTCATTATGGCATCCAACCTTCCCCCGGTGGCATCCAGCCCTCTTACAGTGGCATCCAGCCATTTCACATTGGCATCCAGCCATCTCACATTGGCATCCAGCCATCTCACAATGGCATCCAGCTATCTAACATTGGCATCCAGCCATCTCACATTGGCATCCAGCCATCACACATTGGCATTCAGCCATCTAACATTGGCATCCAGCCATCTCAGATTGGCATCCAGCCATCTAGCATTGGCATCCAGCCATCTAGCATTGGCATCCAGCCATCTCACATTGGCATCCAGCCATCTCACAATGGCATCCAGCTATCTAACATTGGCATCCAGCCATCTCAAATTGGCATCCAGCTATCTCACATTGGCATCCAGCCTCCCCTTAATGGCGTGTAACCCCCAGCCAAACGACAATTCAAAATTTCGACTGAATCCAACGACCAAATAATCTACGATAACATCTAATGGATTTTCCATCTCTCACAGTGAGCGCTTCAAAGGAAGAACGAATCACAACTTTCCGAGAGGTCATATCACACTGAATTCGACGCATTCGAACCAGGCAAATTGACAACTACGGTAGCGCGAAACACTAAGTATATTACACCTCCTTTCGAGTACATCTTTCTCGCTATTCAACCCATAGTCCCCATTAGAATACCCATAGTCCAAATTTTAATCGGAGACGTCGACCCGAAGCGAGAGATGCCGAGCGCTACCTCCCAAGTGTACTACATTACAACTGGTGCCTGAGCTTTAGTCAGAAGCCCTGTAAGCTCCTGTCCAGGGACGCCGCGTGGAGGCACTCAGGAAAGTCCCCATTAACTAAATGGTAACTGGATATTAATCGATCCAACACCCCCCCCAACCACATCACAAACCATTCGCTCGTTTGTTGACCTAGCCCAATAAATTGACCTTCATATACATTACGTGAGGTACATCGGTGACAATGTCGTGCAATCATTCGACTCACATACTAATGTTTCGACACGGAATTCGCAATACGGTATTGCCAATACCTGACCTGTTGACAAAGAATTGCTGTTAAGTGTAAATTCACGCCTTGCGCACGTACACAAATCATATACGTGCGCAAGGCGTGAATGTAACATGTAACATGATTATGTCTAACGGAGCGCGTATCGCAGATATGTCGAATGTGCGAATCACGAAACGTGTTTCTTACGCATCCTACGGTAGGATTCCTACCTACTTATGCTAAGTAACTCAGCAAAGATATATAACCCAATGTTTGGTTTCTTACTAACGGACGCAACAGCAACAGCGATGTAGAAATACGAGGTGGGCATATTACTCACTTGATAGGGCAACACCACTAGGTCTTCGGTGCGAAGGGGCGGAGCTCGCTGAGCTTCTCATCAAGAATTCAGCGGGCTCTTACTGAAAATATTTTGGAAATTGGGTGACTAAAAAAAGGTTGTCGGGGGTTGGGTGGCGTCGCCGACGTGGCCGACAACTGTCTCCTAATACAGGCATGTGCGAAAAGTGATCATCGTAAAAGTTGAACTTGGTTCGTTCGGTAGAGAGTTGCGATCACTAACGTACTTAGCTAATAGCTCATCTTCTACGCGAAGAACAGTCACACTTTTGTTATATTTTTACGCTGATGAGCAATCAACGGGGGACAGAATGATACCCTGTTTGCCTTCTGAGTCGCCCTGGTCGGATCGGAATTTTTGCTCACGCACGGACGGACGGACGCACGCACACGAGTGTTCGTGCGCAGCAACATAAGCCGCTCGCTTCGCTCGCTCCGCAAATTTGATCTTTAGACGTCTATAGCAGATTCTATGCGGATGCTATGTCCATACGGTTTTCACCCAAGCAGTCTCTGTCACTCTGAACTTCAGAGTGTACAGCTTCAGAGTCTGAAGCTGTACGCCCTGGCTGCGTCACCACTTCTTCAATTATAGTAGTGGCTTATAGCAGCTAACGAGTCTACTGTACGCTTGCAAGGTACGTGTACGACCGTTCCATGGAGCATAAACCCGCAGGCTCCTGTTTCCACGTGGATCAGCCATGCACCATCATCCTGGTGTGCTTTAGCCACACCCATCAGACCCGAAGGATGTGCGCCGGGATCGCATCGATGTACAACAAATGAAAACCCAGTTCATACTATGCGTTCCCTGATGTATAGAACCTTCGGCGCATTTGCACGCCATGGATTCGAAGTCACTCTACTGTAGAGTGCGGCAGACACTCCATTGCACCCCCACGGTGTCTCCCTCACGATGGCTCCACCTGGTGAAAATTTTCCAGTGGAAAATGCCGTTGGGAAAACTAGCGCTACTTGTGGTGGAGTTCACCACAAGTAGAGTTAGTTTTCCCAATAGGAAACTCTCATGATTTTTCACCTTGTACAGAACATCGTCCTTGTGGTGCCTACTACTTTCCATATGGGACTGCGTATTATCCCGTTATCATTAGTTGCTGCGGCCGTTCTCGGGACGATTGCGGATGACTCACTAGAGCCGGACACCAAAGTGTTAAAACCAGTCCCTTCCGGATGTCTCAGGGATTTTACAGACCCCAAATACAATGAGTGAGTTTAGTCTCCATATTAGGGTCCGTTACTCATGAGATATGTAATATTGAGGAACGTCTTCTCAGGGACGAATGCCTTCCACTATTCTGGAACCACATGATTGTAAGTGCGGCCACTCCCAAGATAACTGAGGAGCTCAGGAAACTGAAGTAAGTTGTAGCAAAATGGCGTTGAGGAGAGTTGAGAATACAATGTCTCATCAGGAAGAGTGTGAGTGACGCGACCTACTATGAAGTAGACCTCTACGATGTGGTGTCCTCAGACAAGGGTAAAACCCGTCATCCCCGGTCCGAGTCGGGATTCGCTGCTTGAACACTCGAATCTCAGGCACAACCTTCACGAATGTGCTTCGCGTGCTTCCTCAAATGTACCGGATTCGCACTGTCATTGACGAGCCCCCCCAAGACCAGTCAGCCGATGCCCCCCAGTTCGATGTTACAGTGACTCTCGAGCCCCCTCGATAATCGAAGGAAGAGGTTCTGAAAGCGACACGATCTCCTCCTCGAGTAGAAAGCTCAGAAGTGGCATCAAAGGGAGTGAGAAGATCAGCTTTCAAATGGCGAACCCGGGGACTGTTAACCTAACACGATCTTACTACCGCCATTTGCCCCCTGAAGGTGTCGAGATCAAGGGTATACTCATTCAATACCATGGTTGGTTAGAAACATGTGAGTTTTTCGAGAATAAGTTCCACAATGCTGCTATCGCTGACAAGTACGGCCTCATATTGATATCCGCCTGTGGGAGCGGCTATGGATGGTTTTCGACCAGACTGTATGCAGTGCATGCATGGAATGCGGGTGTCTGCTGCACATCGAATCAGAACATCGACGATCTTGAGTACACCAGGATTATCATCCAAAGAGAGAACAAGGCGAATTTGCCAGTCTACGGTTATGGTTACAGTAACGGTGGGATGTTAGTGGAATCTCTATTATGCCATAAGATCATCCAAGGAGCCGTATCGGTTAATGGTGTTCTAGCTCTCCAGCCTGGTCTAACCAAAGCTTTCAAGGTTTGCGATAATATCTATAATGACACTACCGTGGTCCCGAAACCTCCAGCACCGAGAATGGCCAGTGTGCACTGTATAGACGATGGAGTAGTCCCTTACAATGGTTCAGTCTATGGTCACAGCACACTCCACTACATCGTGGGAACCCTATTTCCTCGGACTAATCGCGATGTGAATAGGTGGGCCAAGAGGATCGACTGTGGGCCTAAGCAGGTAACCAAGACAAGGCTCAACAAGTGGACAGTGGTGAAGGAATGGGAATGCCAAGGAAAAAAGAGAGTTGTCTCCATTAAAAGATTCAATTGTAGCTACTATATTTTAGCACATGGTGTAGTTAAAACTTTTGACCTCGACCCCGCCGACTGGGCTGCGAATTTTTTTCTCAGCGAAGGCTAGCAGTGTAATAAGAGCCATTAGGGGACCCGTATTGCTGATTCCTGCTCATGAGCACAACGGCTACTTCCCCGCTAGGTCTCATCGTTTATTTCTGTGAGATTGAGGATGCTCCATAGTCCGCACGCGCGCACATAATCCGTGACGCGTTGCTTTTTCTTTCACTTGTTCATGCGTACATCATGACAGATAGTTGATTTCGTAGCGGCAAATAGCTGCAAATAGGATAAATGGTGAGAGTCAGAGTTTTTCAACTTTATTGAGACCATCATGGCATCGAGTTCTGCAGTCGGAAGAGCACAAATTCCAACAATTTCCTCCCAGTCGAGCGTATCATCAGTTTGACCCATTAGACAGTTCACTAAACCGTTGGGATTAATCGTTCATTCTTGTTTAGCACAACTTGTGTTAGTCCTAATGTAACCAGAAATACTAATAATACTAAAGGGGTCTCTCGGTTATACCGTGAAACTTCCGACGGTAAAGCTCACAGCGACTTGGTGAATTCCACAACGATTCTATCTGATAGATATTGTCGATTAGACAGTTGACATTCTGCAATTCATCACGACCTGGTTGCCTAGGCGAGCAAATATCGCAATACTGAGGCTACGCAATACCGAGCCCAAGCTGTTATTGACGGAAGCTACACGCCCAAACTGTTATACAAGGCTAGGCAGTTATGCAAGGCTGCGCGGGGCGAGCGCGAAGTTTCTTTAGAAAAGAAACACTTTCTTTGGAAATATGGATTTTACCGCATCACGTGTACTTCTCGTCATCGCAGTTGTGTTGTGGTGCACGGAGGTCGCGAGTTCGAATCCCAGCACATGTAATTTTGCCAGCTTCTGTGGTATGCTTTGGCTCATGCTCATTTTGAAGTTGACTGGTGTTGTGTTCTTTCTTATGAGAGGGAGGCTGGGGATAATCGGCAATATTAATTTCATGGCGCGTGACAAATTTTAACCTAGCGTCGAACGACAGTTTGCGGACCTTAGATCTTTCTCTTTTGTGATGTTC